ATATACATGCAACTTTCTTTAAACATGGCGCTGGCGAGTTCAAAGCTAAATATCATAGTTGTGTTGGTCTTTTGTGTATCTTATGCACAAGGTGAGTTTCTGTTACATAACGGTTCCATATATTAATTTAAAATTAATATTAAAATGATAAACTAAAGTTGATATAAAAAAACATTATTGTCCCTTAAGAATGAATAAGTTTACTTGTTTTGTCTAAAACAATGTGTATCGATAAAGCTGTGTGTACATGTCTTGTCTAAAAAATTGTGTATTAAAAAACTGTGTACATACCTTGTCTAAAATAATTGTGTATTGATCAAGCTTTGTTTACATGTCTTGTCATAATAATTTGGAATTGATAAAGCTGTGTGTAAATGTCTTGTCTAAAGCAATTTTGTATTGATAAAGCTGCATGTACATGTGAGAAAACTCCGCCTACTGGGAATTGTGTTTGTCAGTCTGACAACTCAAATCCTGCACAGTGTAAAGGTGAGAAATTTGTTTCAAAACGCTTTAAGATCTTGTTATAAGCATTACAGATTGTCACACTACTCCTGTTATTTGGAATGTATCATAAAACGTGTAATCGATATATATATATATATATATATATACAAATATTTATATATATATATATATATGTATATTGCTCTTTCTCGCTATATATATATATATAAATAAATATATATATATATATATATATATATATATATATATATATATATATATATATATATATATATATATATATATATATATATATATATATATATATAATTTCTAATATATATATATATATATATATATATATATATATATATATATATATATATATATATATATATATTATATAATTACTAATATTAGTACAAAGAGTAAATAATTTTACAATATTTATTTGAGTCTGTTTATGCGACCACATAACAACGTATGTGAAAGGACCTCCAGTCTGCTATTGTAGACCTGGCTATGCAGTCAGCAGCAGAGATCACAAGAAATGTGTAGGTAAGTTTCACATCAAACTTTTTTTTCATGACGATTTAAAATTTTAAAAAACAAATTCATGTGTGCCTAGAGAGAATGAAAAAACATCTCGACTGTAAACAAACAGGTTTAAATTAGAAAAACTTAAACAAAAACGGGAACGCAACGCAAACACAAACACAACTCACACGTAAACTCAAATGCAAACGCGACTTGCAAACGCAAACACAAATACAAACACTTTTAAAAAAAATACAAACGCAAACAAACGCAAACGCTCTGCCCCCACCCCCCACCCCACCCCCAAAGAGATGCCTGGAAGAAACTGATCCGCACGCAGCGCGGTAAACTGTGTTAATATTCATATCAAAACCTTAGCAAAGCACGGATATAAGCTAGTATGTATATAGGGGGGACCAATTTTTTTTTTTAACACGTTTTTCTTAACTCAGCTTCGCGTTTGTGGGTTTGTTGTTAAAATTGACAACGAAAATTAGCCCACTTCTGATTGCTCTAGAGATCTGAAATTCGGCATGCAGGCTATTTTCGCCTAACAATTTCAGATGCAATCATAAAAACTAGCAATTAGAGACCTAAATTAGCTTAATTAAATTACGCCCCAAGGACCCTAAAATTGAGGACATGATTTCTAAAGCAAAAATAAATTATCAATCCAGATTTATCAAAACAAAATTAAGAGGTTTTATCAGTGGCGGAGTGGTCTAGCGGTAGAGAGTTGGACTGCTAACCCGTTAGTCTCGAGTTCGAATCCGGGTTTAAGTCAGTAGACCGTCCCTGAGTCCACCCAACTCTGATGGGTACCTAAAAAATCCTCTAAATTTTTATGTATTTAAAAACACTTAGTCAAGTCATACTTAATCAAGTCATTAGATAAAGTAGAAAATAAACTATATATAAACTTTTTGAAAACCACGTTTTTCATGTGTAGCAACGGACTAAAAAGGAGAAAATTAAATACTTTAAAAAAACTTTTTAAAAAACCACGTTTTTCTTGTGGACTAAAAAGTAGAAAATAAATTTTTCTTCCGACCCTAGGGGGTCTACCAATGACTGCTCGTAGATTTTGTGCTTCCTCGAGCTGTGCAGGTTCTTGTGATGACTGTTCATACATTTGATGACAAAAAACGTGGGTCGGGCAGATGGGTCGGGAAATTTGATGGTGAACGTACCCACGTTTTTTGTCATCAAATGTATGAACAGTCATCACAAGAACCTGCACAGCTCGAGGAAGCACAAAATCTACGAGCAGTCATTGGTAGATCCCCTAGGGTCGGAAGAAAAATTTATTTTCTACTTTTTAGTCCACAAGAAAAACGTGGTTTTTTAAAAAGTTTTTTTTAAGTATTTTTTAAATTTATTTAATCTGTGTAAACTTAATTCAAAAGTATTAAAAAAGTATTTCTTTTGAAAATACAAATTTCAGACATCGATGAATGCAACAGTCCAGAAGGAAATCCATGCCAGCAGATCTGTACAAACACTGTTGGCAGCTTCTCATGTTCATGTAGTCCAGGTTACACCGTCAGCAGTACGAACCCCAACGCGTGTGATGGTGAGTCGGTTTAAATATATGTCGTTAGCAGACTAAAGTATAACCTTAATGATACTTTTCAATATACAACATATGATGTAAAAAAACATAATTGTTTACGATACGACATTACACATTCTTTGGTGTATGCCTTTTTTTGTTCAAGCGGAGTGTAGAGTTATTCGTGAGTTACTGTTCTTGCTTCTTTTAATGAATTATTTATTACAAACGTGTATTCGCTTATATAAACCAAAATAGATTACACTGCCCTTAAATTGTTGCAACTGCCTACTCCTTATATTGACCTCCACTAAACGCACTACACTATTTCTAACACAAAACGGAAACTTTTTATATTTTACTTGTCAATGGTAAAAATATCTTTGTACCGTAATGATAGCGATAACCTGTAAAATGCGTAAATACAACCCGTAGGGGGGTCTGTGCTGCTTCTCTACCGGGAATAAAGGCTCTAGTAAAGTATTACTAGAGGTACTGTCAATAACGTCTGATGACAAAGTGTCAATTCAATGCACGAAGTTACAGTATTAGTAGAATACTTACCAGGTCCGATGAACTCTTGTACTTGCAAGGGTTTACGCCGGTGAATAAGACTAAAATATTAGGACCGATGACTACGTGTCAACTCAATGCCCGCAGTTTACGGCCTGTAGTTAATATGCAGTAATATAATATTATTGTACCTACTGCTGCGTGGCTAATGTACGTACAGGATCAAAGTATTACAGTAGGTAATTGAAATATTTACTCAACTGCCATGTGGAATTACGTTACTCGCAGGAATAGTTTAAGCCAATTAAATATTCAAATTTCCTGTGTGCTAAGAAACGGGCAGTGTAAAGTTTAATTATGTAAATCAGTTAAGCTGTCGAATGTCTCACGGCCTAAGCCACGAACAGGTTAACAGTTCAACTTATGTAAGTAATAATGAATAACAACAAGATAATATATATTGTATTTAATGAAACTACTTATTACGATGAAATCTAAATATGCATATTAAAACTCATATAGGGAAAATAAGAAACTATTAAGTAAAACCAGACCAAGAACACGCGGAGATCGGGCCGACGGCCTCAACGCCGCGTACGACACCACCAGTGCTGGAAGTGTGTGTGTGTGTGTTTTTTAGGTTGCATCAGTGGCGTAGGCAGGGGGGGGTTAGGGGGGGTCATAACCCCCCCCCCCATAGACCCCTCGGTATATATAAAAAGTATGAGGGGGGTGCAAATCGAAAGTTTGAAGGGGGTGCAAATCGAAAGTTTGAGGGGGGGGGGGGGGTGCAAATCGAAAGTTGAGGGGGGGGGGGGTTTCAAATCGAAAGTTTGTCCCCGGGTAAAAATTGGAACCCCCCCTTGAGACGATCCTGGCTACGCCACTGGGTTGCATGTCCTTTATGCATTAAAATTAGCGGTGTGTCACGTGGACAATCTAGCCAACTAAAGAGGAGCCTATGAAGGGGACAAAAGATATGAATATACATGACTGTTAAGGGGGAGAGGAGGGGGGAGGGGTAATCGGTTAAGTAGAGGCTGGTGAAACTAACTTCAACCAAAAATGTTTTTCAAACTTAACGCGCAGTCAAGATATAATGATAATGCATTGTGGTATAAAATTTGATTTAATTAAACGGTGTTTTCACATTTTAAAGAACTATTTAATATTTCCAACATAAAGTTCTGATTTCACGCTATTGTATACACAAATCGTCTGTTTCTATTTTGTAATCAATTGTTTTTAAGCTTGTGATTCTGTAACATTTTATTTTAAAGTAATTAAACAAAATTAACCCAAAGTATGGATTACTAAATTTTATATTAAATATCTTTACTTTAGTTAATAGTTATTAAAGTAACGGTGCTTGATTAAATATGCATGGATATTTTTAATTTTCTGCGTTTATTATAATAAACTTGGTTATTAAAACATGTTTTTATTTATTTAATCTATCTATACTTAGACATCCTATTATTAAAAAAGAAATTCTTTTAAAAAAAACATTCAGACATCGATGAATGCAACAGTCCAGAAGGAAATCCGTGCCAGCAGATCTGTACCAACACTGTTGGCAGCTTCTTATGTTCATGTAGTCCAGGTTACACCGTAAGCAGTACGAACCCTAACGCGTGTGATGGTGAGTCGGTTTAAACATATGTCGTTCTCAGACTAAAGTATAACCTTAATGATACTTTTCGTTTCAGTATACAATATATGATGTAAAGAAACATATTTTTTTTCGATACGACATCACACATTCTGTGCAGTATGCCTTTTTTTACTTTCTCGTATATACAAAGTATAGAGAAAGCATAGTAAACGTGCAAAAAAAAAATCGAGATTTTTACAAATCTCGACGTTTTACACCTCACTGATACGGAAAAACATAGATTTGCAATCTTGTCCGTATGTCTGTGTGTCTGTGTGTGCGTGCGTGTGTGTCCGTGTGTAAACACGATTATTTGAGTACCGTTACAGCTAGGTTGATAAAATTTCATATATAAGGATTTTATCAAAATCGTAGATCCGTATTAACTTTTGAGCGATTTCCGATAACCGGAAGTGGTACTTTTCCTACTTTGAATTTTTCAAAATCCTATAACTTGAGTACTATTTCAGATAGATAAATGAAATTTCACAAGTAAGTAAAAGATCTAATTCTCTACCTTCTGTTAAATTTTGAGTAATTTCCTTTGAGCGGAAGTATTAATTTACGCTACTTCCGATTTCTCAAAAAACTAATGTACATTTTTTAAGGACTAATAACATTGCACACTATTATGCATTTTTTATTTGGCGTTCACTTGGTGTGCAATTCTTTTGTCTACGAAATGTTATTCTATTTTTAAAACTTTAAGTATTTAAAATGGATTAAAAATCATGTCTATAGCCAGAGTTCCCATCCCCTGTAATTACTTACTCGTATATACGTAGTATAGAGAAAGTATTGTAATCGTGCAATTTTACACCTCACTGATACGGAAAAACATAATTTTGCAATCTTGTCTGTATGTCTGTGTGTGTGTGTCTGTGTGTCTGTGTGTAAACACGATTACTTGAGTACCGTTACAGCTAGGTTGATGAAATTTCATATAAAAGTATTTTATCAAAATCGTAGATCCTTATTAACTTGTGCGCGACTTCCGATAACCGGAAGTGGTACTTTTTCTACTTTAAATTTTTTCAAAAGCCTATAACTTGAATACTATTTCAGATAGATAAATGAAATTTCACAAGTAAGTAAAAGATCTAATTCTCTACCTTCTGTTAAATTTTGAGTAATTTCCGTTGACCGGAAATAGTAATTTACGATACTTCCTATTTCTCAAAAAACTAATGTAAATTTTTAAAGTACTAATAATATTGCGCACTATTATGCACTTTTTTATTTGGCGTTTACTTAGTGTGCAATTCTTTTGTCTACGAGATTTTATTCTATTTTTAAAACTTTAAGTATTTAAAATGGATTAAAAATCATGTCTATAGCCCGAGTTCCCATCCCCTGTTATTTTATATAAGAGTATTCGAGAAAGTTTAGGGGAGATCACTCCCGGTTTATTTTATATAAGAATATTCGAGAAAGTTTAGGGAAGATCACTCCCGGTTTATTTTTTGTTCAAGCGGAGCATAGAGTTATTCGTGAGTTACTGTTCTTGCTTCTTTTAATGAATTATTTATTACAAACGTGTATTCGCTTATATAAACCAAAATAGATTACACTGCCCTTAAATTGTTGCAACTGCCTACTCCTTATATTGACCTCCACTAAAGGCACTACACTATTTCTAACACAAAACGGAAACTTTTTATATTTTACTTGTCAATGGTAAAAATATCTTTGTACCGTAATGATAGCGATAACCTGTAAAATGCGTAAATACAACCCGTAGGGGGGTCTGTGCTGCTTCTCTACCGGGAATAAAGACTCTAGTAAAGTATTACTAGAGGTACTGTCAATAACGTCTGATGACAAAGTGTCAATTCAATGCACGAAGTTACAGTATTAGTAGAATACTTACCAGGTCCGATGAACTCTTGTACTTGCAAGGGTTTACGCCGGTGAATAAGACTAAAATATTAGGACCGATGACTAAGTGTCAACTCAATGCCCGCAGTTTACGGCCTGTAGTTAATATGCAGTAATATAATATTATTGTACCTACTGCTGCGTGGCTAATATACGTACAGGATCAAAGTATTACAGTAAGTAATTGAAATATTTACTCAACTGCCATGTGGAATTACGTTACTCGCAGGAATAGTTTAAGCCAATTAAACATTCAATTTTCCTGTGTGCTAAGAAACGGGCAGTGTAAAGTTTAATTATGTAGATCAGTTAAGCTGTCGAATGTCTCACGGCCTAAGCCACGAACAGGTTAACAGTTCAACTTATGTAAGTAATAATGAATAACAACAAGATAATATATATTGTATTTAATGAAACTACTTATTACGATGAAATCTAAATATGCATATTAAAACTCATATAGGGAAAATAAGAAACTATTAAGTAAAACCAGACCAAGAACACGCGGAGATCGGGCCGACGGCCTCAACGCCGCGTACGACACCACCAGTGCTGGAAGTGTGTGTGTGTGTGTTTTTTAGGTTGCATCAGTGGCGTAGGCAGGGGGGGGTTAGGGGGGGTCATAACCCCCCCCCCATAGACCCCTCGGTATATATAAAAAGTATGAGGGGGGTGCAAATCGAAAGTTTGAAGGGGGTGCAAATCGAAAGTTTGAGGGGGGGGGGTGCAAATCGAAAGTTGAGGGGGGGGGGGTTTCAAATCGAAAGTTTGTCCCCGGGTAAAAATTGGAACCCCCCCTTGAGACGATCCTGGCTACGCCACTGGGTTGCATGTCCTTTATGCATTAAAATTAGCGGTGTGTCACGTGGACAATCTAGCCAACTAAAGAGGAGCCTATGAAGGGGACAAAAGATATGAATATACATGACTGTTAAGGGGGAGAGGAGGGGGGAGGGGTAATCGGTTAAGTAGAGGCTGGTGAAACTAACTTCAACCAAAAATGTTTTTCAAACTTAACGCGCAGTCAAGATATAATGATAATGCATTGTGGTATAAAATTTGATTTAATTAAACGGTGTTTTCACATTTTAAAGAACTATTTAATATTTCCAACATAAAGTTCTGATTTCACGCTATTGTATACACAAATCGTCTGTTTCTATTTTGTAATCAATTGTTTTTAAGCTTGTGATTCTGTAACATTTTATTTTAAAGTAATTAAACAAAATTAACCCAAAGTATGGATTACTAAATTTTATATTAAATATCTTTACTTTAGTTAATAGTTATTAAAGTAACGGTGCTTGATTAAATATGCATGGATATTTTTAATTTTCTGCGTTTATTATAATAAACTTGGTTATTAAAACATGTTTTTATTTATTTAATCTATCTATACTTAGACATCCTATTATTAAAAAAGAAATTCTTTTAAAAAAAACATTCAGACATCGATGAATGCAACAGTCCAGAAGGAAATCCGTGCCAGCAGATCTGTACCAACACTGTTGGCAGCTTCTTATGTTCATGTAGTCCAGGTTACACCGTAAGCAGTACGAACCCTAACGCGTGTGATGGTGAGTCGGTTTAAACATATGTCGTTCTCAGACTAAAGTATAACCTTAATGATACTTTTCGTTTCAGTATACAATATATGATGTAAAGAAACATATTTTTTTTCGATACGACATCACACATTCTGTGCAGTATGCCTTTTTTTACTTTCTCGTATATACAAAGTATAGAGAAAGCATAGTAAACCTCACTGATACGGAAAAACATAGATTTGCAATCTTGTCCGTATGTCTGTGTGTCTGTGTGTGCGTGCGTGTGTGTCCGTGTGTAAACACGATTATTTGAGTACCGTTACAGCTAGGTTGATAAAATTTCATATATAAGGATTTTATCAAAATCGTAGATCCGTATTAACTTTTGAGCGATTTCCGATAACCGGAAGTGGTACTTTTCCTACTTTGAATTTTTCAAAATCCTATAACTTGAGTACTATTTCAGATAGATAAATGAAATTTCACAAGTAAGTAAAAGATCTAATTCTCTACCTTCTGTTAAATTTTGAGTAATTTCCTTTGAGCGGAAGTATTAATTTACGCTACTTCCGATTTCTCAAAAAACTAATGTACATTTTTTAAGGACTAATAACATTGCACACTATTATGCATTTTTTATTTGGCGTTCACTTGGTGTGCAATTCTTTTGTCTACGAAATGTTATTCTATTTTTAAAACTTTAAGTATTTAAAATGGATTAAAAATCATGTCTATAGCCAGAGTTCCCATCCCCTGTAATTACTTACTCGTATATACGTAGTATAGAGAAAGTATTGTAATCGTGCAATTTTACACCTCACTGATACGGAAAAACATAATTTTGCAATCTTGTCTGTATGTCTGTGTGTGTGTGTCTGTGTGTCTGTGTGTAAACACGATTACTTGAGTACCGTTACAGCTAGGTTGATGAAATTTCATATAAAAGTATTTTATCAAAATCGTAGATCCTTATTAACTTGTGCGCGACTTCCGATAACCGGAAGTGGTACTTTTTCTACTTTAAATTTTTTCAAAAGCCTATAACTTGAATACTATTTCAGATAGATAAATGAAATTTCACAAGTAAGTAAAAGATCTAATTCTCTACCTTCTGTTAAATTTTGAGTAATTTCCGTTGACCGGAAATAGTAATTTACGATACTTCCTATTTCTCAAAAAACTAATGTAAATTTTTAAAGTACTAATAATATTGCGCACTATTATGCACTTTTTTATTTGGCGTTTACTTAGTGTGCAATTCTTTTGTCTACGAGATTTTATTCTATTTTTAAAACTTTAAGTATTTAAAATGGATTAAAAATCATGTCTATAGCCCGAGTTCCCATCCCCTGTTATTTTATATAAGAGTATTCGAGAAAGTTTAGGGGAGATCACTCCCGGTTTATTTTATATAAGAATATTCGAGAAAGTTTAGGGAAGATCACTCCCGGTTTATTTTTTGTTCAAGCGGAGCATAGAGTTATTCGTGAGTTACTGTTCTTGCTTCTTTTAATGAATTATTTATTACAAACGTGTATTCGCTTATATAAACCAAAATAGATTACACTGCCCTTAAATTGTTGCAACTGCCTACTCCTTATATTGACCTCCACTAAAGGCACTACACTATTTCTAACACAAAACGGAAACTTTTTATATTTTACTTGTCAATGGTAAAAATATCTTTGTACCGTAATGATAGCGATAACCTGTAAAATGCGTAAATACAACCCGTAGGGGGGTCTGTGCTGCTTCTCTACCGGGAATAAAGACTCTAGTAAAGTATTACTAGAGGTACTGTCAATAACGTCTGATGACAAAGTGTCAATTCAATGCACGAAGTTACAGTATTAGTAGAATACTTACCAGGTCCGATGAACTCTTGTACTTGCAAGGGTTTACGCCGGTGAATAAGACTAAAATATTATGACCGATGACTAAGTGTCAACTCAATGCCCGCAGTTTACGGCCTGTAGTTAATATGCAGTAATATAATATTATTGTACCTACTGCTGCGTGGCTAATATACGTACAGGATCAAAGTATTACAGTAAGTAATTGAAATATTTACTCAACTGCCATGTGGAATTACGTTACTCGCAGGAATAGTTTAAGCCAATTAAACATTCAATTTTCCTGTGTGCTAAGAAACGGGCAGTGTAAAGTTTAATTATGTAGATCAGTTAAGCTGTCGAATGTCTCACGGCCTAAGCCACGAACAGGTTAACAGTTCAACTTATGTAAGTAATAATGAATAACAACAACATAATATATATTGTATTTAGTGAAACTACTTATTATGATGAAATCTAAATATGCATATTAAAACTCATATAGGGAAAATAAGAAACTATTAAGTAAAACCAGACCCAGAACACGTGGAGATCGGGCCGACGGCCTCAACGCCGCGTACGACACCACCAGTGCTGGAAGTGTGTGTGTGTGATTTTTAGGTTGCATGTCCTTTTATGCATTAAAATTAGCGTTGTGTCACGTGGACAATCTAGCCAACTAAAGAGGAGCCTGTGAAGGGGACAAAAGATATGAATATACATGACTGTTAAGGGGGAGAGGAGGGGGGAGTAATCGCGTAAGTAGAGGCTGGTGAAACTAACTTCAACTAAAAATGTTTTTCGAACTTAACGCGCGGTCAAGATATAATGATAATGCATTGTGGTATAAAATTTGATTTAATTAAACGGTGTTTTCACATTTTAAAGAACTATTTAATATTTCCAATATAAAGTTCTGATTTCACGCTATTTTATACATTATACACATATCGTCTGTTTCTATTTTGTAATCAATTGTTTTTAAGCTTGCGATTCTTTAGCATTATATTTTAAAGTAATTAAACAAAATTAACCCAAAGTATGTATTACTAAATTTTATATTAAATATCTTTACTTTAGTTAATAGTTATTTAAGTAACGGTGCTTTATTAAATATGCATGGATAATTTTAATTTTCTGCGTTTATTATAATAAACTTGGTTATTAAAACATGTTTTTATTTATTTAATCTATGTATACTTAGATATCCTATTATTAAAAAAGAAATTCTTTAAAAAAAAACATTCAGACATCGATGAATGCAACAGTCCAGAAGGAAATCCGTGCCAGCAGATCTGTACAAACACTGTTGGCAGCTTCTCATGTTCATGTAGTCCAGGTTACACCGTAAGCAGTACAAACCCCAACGCGTGTGATGGTGAGTCGGTTTAAACATATGTCGTTAGCAGACTAAAGTATAACCTTAATGATACTTTTCAATATACAACATATGATGTAAAAAAACATAATTGTTTACGATACGACATTACACATTCTTTGGTGTATGCCTTTTTTTCTTCCTCGTATATACGTAGTATAGAGAAAGTATTGTAATCGTGCAAACAAAAAAAAATCGAGATTTTTACAAATCTCGACGTTTTACACCTCACTGATACGGAATAACATAATTTTGCAATCTTGTCCGTATGTCTGTGTGTGTGTGTGTGTCTGTGTGTCTCTGTGTGTGTAAACACGATAACTTAGGTACCGTTACAGCTAGGTTGATGAAATTTCATATATAAGTATTTTATTAAAATCGTAGATCCGTATCAACTTTTGAGCGATTTCCGATAACCGGAAGTGGTACTTTTTCTACTTTGAATTTTTCAAAAGCCTATAAATTGAGTAATATTTCAGATAGATAAATGAAATTTCACATATAAGTAAAAGATCTAATTATCTTCGTTCTGTCAAATTTTGAGTAATTTCCGTTGACGGGAAGTACTAATTTACGCTATTTCCGATTTCTCAAAATCGCATCTAAATTTATAAAGTACTAATAATATTGCGCACCATTATGAACATCTTTATTCGGCGTTCGCTTGGTGTGCAATACTTTTTTCTATGAGATTCTATTTTATTTTAAAAAGTTTAAGTATTTAAAATGGATTAAAAATCATAACTATATCCCGAGTTCCCATCCCCTGTTGTTTTATATAAGAATATTCGAGAAAGTTTAGGGGAGATCACTCCCGGTTTATTTGTTCAAGCGGAGTGTAGAGTTATTCATGAGTTACTGTTCTTGCTTCTTTTAATGAATTATTTATTACAAACGTGTATTCGCTTATATAAACCAAAATAGATTACACTGCCCTTAAATTGTTGCAACTGCCTACTCCTTATATTGACCTCCACTAAACGCACTACACTATTTCTAACACAAAACGGAAACTTTTTATATTTTACTTGTCAATGGTAAAAATATCTTTGTACCGTAATGATAGCGATAACCTGTAAAATGCGTAAATACAACCCGTAGGGGGGTCTGTGCTGCTTCTCTACCGGGAATAAAGACTCTAGTAAAGTATTACTAGAGGTACTGTCAATAACGTCTGATGACAAAGTGTCAATTCAATGCACGAAGTTACAGTATTAGTAGAATACTTACCAGGTCCGATGAACTCTTGTACTTGCAAGGGTTTACGCCGGTGAATAAGACTAAAATATTATGACCGATGACTAAGTGTCAACTCAATGCCCGCAGTTTACGGCCTGTAGTTAATATGCAGTAATATAATATTATTGTACCTACTGCTGCGTGGCTAATATACGTACAGGATCAAAGTATTACAGTAAGTAATTGAAATATTTACTCAACTGCCATGTGGAATTACGTTACTCGCAGGAATAGTTTAAGCCAATTAAATATTCAATTTTCCTGTGTGCTAAGAAACGGGCAGTGTAAAGTTTAATTATGTAGATCAGTTAAGCTGTCGAATGTCTCACGGCCTAAGCCACGAACAGGTTAACAGTTCAACTTATGTAAGTAATAATGAATAACAACAAGATAATATATATTGTATTTAGTGAAACTACTTATTACGATGAAATCTAAATATGCAAATTAAAACTCATATAGGGAAAATAAGAAACTATTAAGTAAAACCAGACCCAGAACACGTGGAGATCGGGCCGACGGCCTCAACGCCGCGTACGACACCACCAGTGCTGGAAGTGTGTGTGTGTGATTTTTAGGTTGCATGTCCTTTTATGCATTAAAATTAGCGTTGTGTCACGTGGACAATCTAGCCAACTAAAGAGGAGCCTGTGAAGGGGACAAAAGATATGAATATACATGACTGTTAAGGGGGAGAGGAATGGGAGGGGGGGGGGGGGGGGTAATCGCGTAAGTAGAGGCTGGTGAAACTAACTTCAACTAAAAATGTTTTTCGAACTTAACGCGCGGTCAAGATATAATGATAATGCATTGTGGTATAAAATTTGATTTAATTAAACGGTGTTTTCACATTTTAAAGAACTATTTAATATTTCCAATATAAAGTTCTGATTTCACGCTATTTTATACATTATACACATATCGTCTGTTTCTATTTTGTAATCAATTGTTTTTAAGCTTGCGATTCTTTAGCATTATATTTTAAAGTAATTAAACAAAATTAACCCAAAGTATGTATTACTAAATTTTATATTAAATATCTTTACTTTAGTTAATAGTTATTTAAGTAACGGTGCTTTATTAAATATGCATGGATAATTTTAATTTTCTGCGTTTATTATAATAAACTTGGTTATTAAAACATGTTTTTATTTATTTAATCTATGTATACTTAGATATCCTATTATTAAAAAAGAAATTCTTTAAAAAAAAACATTCAGACATCGATGAATGCAACAGTCCAGAAGGAAATCCGTGCCAGCAGATCTGTACAAACACTGTTGGCAGCTTCTCATGTTCATGTAGTCCAGGTTACACCGTAAGCAGTACAAACCCCAACGCGTGTGATGGTGAGTCGGTTTAAACATATGTCGTTAGCAGACTAAAGTATAACCTTAATGATACTTTTCAATATACAACATATGATGTAAAAAAACATAATTGTTTACGATACGACATTACACATTCTTTGGTGTATGCCTTTTTTTCTTTCTCGTATATACGTAGTATAGAGAAAGTATTGTAATCGTGCAAACAAAAAAAAATCGAGATTTTTACAAATCTCGACGTTTTACACCTCACTGATACGGAATAACATAATTTTGCAATCTTGTCCGTATGTCTGTGTGTGTGTGTGTGTCTGTGTGTCTCTGTGTGTGTGTAAACACGATAACTTAGGTACCGTTACAGCTAGGTTGATGAAATTTCATATATAAGTATTTTATTAAAATCGTAGATCCGTATCAACTTTTGAGCGATTTCCGATAACCGGAAGTGGTACTTTTTCTACTTTGAATTTTTCAAAAGCCTATAACTTGAGTACTATTTCAGATAGATAAATGAAATTTCACATATAAGTAAAAGATCTAATTATCTTCGTTCTGTCAAATTTTGAGTAATTTCCGTTGACGGGAAGTACTAATTTACGCTATTTCCGATTTCTCAAAATCGCATCTAAATTTATAAAGTACTAATAATATTGCGCACCATTATGAACATCTTTATTCGGCGTTCGCTTGGTGTGCAATACTTTTTTCTATGAGATTCTATTTTATTTTAAAAAGTTTAAGTATTTAAAATGGATTAAAAATCATAACTATATCCCGAGTTCCCATCCCCTGTTGTTTTATATAAGAATATTCGAGAAAGTTTAGGGGAGATCACTCCCGGTTTATTTGTTCAAGCGGAGTGTAGAGTTATTCATGAGTTACTGTTCTTGCTTCTTTTAATGAATTATTTATTACAAACGTGTATTCGCTTATATAAACCAAAATAGATTACACTGCCCTTAAATTGTTGCAACTGCCTACTCCTTATATTGACCTCCACTAAACGCACTACACTATTTCTAACACAAAACGGAAACTTTTTATATTTTACTTGTCAATGGTAAAAATATCTTTGTACCGTAATGATAGCGATAACCTGTAAAATGCGTAAATACAACCCGTAGGGGGGTCTGTGCTGCTTCTCTACCGGGAATAAAGGCTCTAGTAAAGTATTACTAGAGGTACTGTCAATAACGTCTGATGACAAAGTGTCAATTCAATGCACGAAGTTACAGTATTAGTAGAATACTTACCAGGTCCGATGAACTCTTGTGCTTGCAAAGGTTTACGCCGGTGAATAAGACTAAAATATTATGACCGATGACTACGTGTCAACTCAATGCCCGCAGTTTATGGCCTGTAGTTAATATGCAGTAATATAATATTATTGTACCTACTGCTGCGTGGCAAATATACGTACAGGATCAAAGTATTACAGTAGGTAATTGAAATATTTACTCAACTGCCATGTGGAATTACGTTACTCGCAGGAATAGTTTAAGCCAATTAAATATTCAAATTTCCTGTGTGCTAAGAAACGGGCAGTGTAAAGTTTAATTATGTAAATCAGTTAAGCTGTCGAATGTCTCACGGCCTAAGCCACGAACAGGTTAACAGTTCAACTTATGTAAGTAATAATGAATAACAACAAGATAATATATATTGTATTTAATGAAACTACTTATTACGATGAAATCTAAATATGCATATTAAAACTCATATAGGGAAAATAAGAAACTATTAAGTAAAACCAGACCCAGAACACGTGGAGATCGGGCCGACGGCCTCAACGCCGCGTACGACACCACCAGTGCTGGAAGTGTGTGTGTGTTTTTTAGGTTGCATGTCCTTTTATGCATTAAAATTAGCGTTGTGTCACGTGGACAATCTAGCCAACTAAAGAGGAGCCTGTGAAGGGGACAAAAGATATGAATATACATGACTGTTAAGGGGGAGAGGAGGGGGGAGTAATCGCGTAAGTAGAGGCTGGTGAAACTAACTTCAACCAAAAATGTTTTTCGAACTTAACGCGCGGTCAAGATATAATGATAATGCATTGTGGTATAAAATTTGATTTAATTAAACGGTGTTTTCACATTTTAAAGAACTATTTAATATTTCCAATATAAAGTTCTGATTTCACGCTATTTTATACACATATCGTCTGTTTCTATTTTGTAATCAATTGTTTTTAAGCTTGCGATTCTTTAGCATTATATTTTAAAGTAATTAAACAAAATTAACCCAAAGTATGTATTACTAAATTTTATATTAAATATCTTTACTTTAGTTAATAGTTATTTAAGTAACGGTGCTTTATTAAATATGCATGGATAATTTTAATTTTCTGCGTTTATTATAATAAATTTGGTTATTAAAACATGTTTTTATTTATTTAATCTATGTATACTTAGATATCCTATTATTAAAAAAGAAATTCTTTAAAAAAAAACATTCAGACATCGATGAATGCAACAGTCCAGAAGGAAATCCGTGCCAGCAGATCTGTACAAACACTGTTGGCAGCTTCTTATGTTCATGTAGTCCAGGTTACACCGTCAGCAGTACGAACCCCAACGCGTGTGATGGTGAGTCGGTTTAAACATATGTCGTTCTCAGACTAAAGTATAACCTTAATGATACTTTTCAATATACAACATATGATGTAAGAAAACATAATTGTTTACGATACGACATTACACATTCTTTGGTGTATGCCTTTTTTTGTTCAAGCGGAGCGTAGAGTTATTCATAAGTTACTGTTCTTGCTTCTTTTAATGAATTATTTATTACAAACGTGTATTCGCTTATATAAACCAAAATAGATTACACTGCCCTTAAATTGTTGCAACTGCCTACTCCTTATATTGACCTCCACTAAACGCACTACACTATTTCTAACACAAAACGGAAACTTTTTATATTTTACTTGTCAATGGTAAAAATATCTTTGTACCGTAATGATAGCGATAACCTGTAAAATGCGTAAATACAACCCGTAGGGGGGTCTGTGCTGCTTCTCTACCGGGAATAAAGGCTCTAGTAAAGTATTACTAGAGGTACTGTCAATAACGTCTGATGACAAAGTGTCAATTCAATGCACGAAGTTACAGTATTAGTAGAATACTTACCAGTGTAACGGACACCAATCTATCAGCCAGATAGTTGGCGAGCGCTCCCGGATTCGTTTAACTGATTACACACAGATGGCGACAAGCCTAAATAAAAGAAAGTTAACACACTAGTTCGCTAGTACTCGTAATTGATGTCTAGGGGAATCACTAGAGAAACTACTGATGCCAACAATACATTTAATCTGCATATAACTTGTAATGAGTGTACAAAGTCGTGGCAGAACACTAGATTTATACAGGAATAAAATAGATTTACAGAATGAACAAAACCCAACTTACATTGTGTGGGAAATAATAATATGATACACTATCACAGCTTTTAACACTTCAGAAAAATCACCACAGTTTAAACATCACTGCTATAAGCATAAAGAATTACTTAACCACAAGTAATATAATAATATGCTACTTAAACAACTTAGTACTACGCGGCAACACACAGGGCTTATGTCTCTCAACGACGTCTAGTCAATGAACTGCCTCGAGACACCTGTGGGCAGTCTATTTATAGACTTAGGCAACCTGGAAGGTCACCTTCAAATCATAAGGCCATTGGTTGGGGTGGTCATCTGGTCTGAATCAATCAATCATATCTTGACGGAAAATTTCTGAGTCTAAGACTCTCTTAGTAAGACAGCGGAAAAAACCGGTCATTGCACCACAGACCATATATGGTATTAAAGCCAAATGTAAAAATAAACATTACCAGACCTAAGTAGGTCACACCAGGTCCGATGAACTCTTATACTTGCAAGGGTTTACGCCGGTGAATAAGACTAAAATATCAGGACCGATGACTACGTGTCAACTCAATGCCCGCAGTTTACGGCCTGTAGTTAATATGCAGTAATATAATATTATTGTACCTACTGCTGCGTGGCTAATATACGTACAGGATCAAAGTATTACAGTAGGTAATTGAAATATTTACTCAACTGCCATGTGGAATTATGTCCAGGATAAAATAAATATAAATACTGGACAGGTATATGAATAATACTCTGTTAGCCCCTTTCTCCTGCTTTACGGCATACCTGAGAAGGAAAGAATGGAAAGGTGTCCAGTATTTTCGGAAAAGGTATCAGGCAACCCTAGTTAAGGGGGAGAGGAGGGGGGGGGGGGGGGTAATCGCGTAAGTAGAGGCTGGTGAAACTAACTTCAACCAAAAATGTTTTTCGAACTTAACGCGCGGTCAAGATATAATGATAATGCATTGTGGTATAAAATTTGATTTAATTAAACGGTGTTTTCACATTTTAAAGAACTATTTAATATTTCCAACTTAAAATTCTGATTTCACGCTATTGTATACACATATCGTCTGTTTCTATTTTGTAATCAATTGTTTTTAAGCTTGTGATTCTGTAGCATTTTATTTTAAAGTAATTAAACAAAGTTAACCCAAAGTATGGATTACTAAATTTTATATTAAATATCTTTACTTTAGTTAATAGTTATTTAAGTAACGGGGCTTTATTAAATATGCATAAATATTTTTAATTTTCTGCGTTTATTATAATAAACTTGGTTATTAAAACATGTTTTTATTTATTTAATCTATCTATACTTAGACATCCTATTATTAAAAACGAAATTCTTTAAAAAAAAACATTCAGACATCGATGAATGCAACAGTCCAGAAGGAAATCCGTGCCAGCAGATCTGTACCAACACTGTTGGCAGCTTCTCGTGTTCATGTAGTCCAAGTTACACCGTCAGCAGTACAAACCCCAACGAGTGTGGTGAGTCGGTTTTAACATATGTCGTTCTCAGACTAAAGTATAACCTTAATAATACTTTTTAATATAAAACATATGATGTAAAAAAACATAATTGTTTACGATACGACATTACACATTCTTTGGTGTATGCATTTTTTTTTGTTCAAGCGGAGCGTAGAGTTATTCGTGAGTTACTGTTCTTGCTTCTTTTAATGAAGTATTTATTACAAACGTGTATTCGCTTATATAAACCAAAATAGATTACACTGCCCTTAAATTGTTGCAACTGCCTACTCCTTATATTGACCTCCACTAAACACACTACACTATTTCTAACACAAAACGGAAACTTTTTATATTTTACTTGTCAATGGTAAAAATATCTTTGTACCGTAATGATAGCGATAACCTGTAAAATGCGTAAATACAACCCGTAGGGGGGTCTGTGCTGCTTCTCTACCGGGAATAAAGGCTCTAGTAAAGTATTACTTGAGGTACTGTCAATAACGTCTGATGACAAACTGTCAATTCAATGCACGAAGTTACAGTATTAGTAGAATACTTACTAGGTCCGATGAACTATTGTACTTGCAAGGGTTTACGCCGGTGAATAAGACTAAAATATCAGGACCAATGACTACGTGTCAAATCAATGCCCGCAGTTTACGGCCTGTAGTTAATATGCAGTAATATAAAATTATTGTACCTACTGCTGTGTGGCAAATATACGTACAGGAATAAAATTTTACAGTAGGTAATTGAAATATCTACTCAACTGCCATGTGGAATTACGTTACTCGCAGGAATAGTTTAAGCCAATTAAATATTCAAATTTCCTGTGTGCTAAGAAACGGGCAGTGTAAAGTTTAATTATGTAAATCAGTTAAGCTGTCGAATGTCTCACGGCCTAAGCCACGAACAGGTTAACAGTTCAACTTATGTAAGTAATAATGAATAACAACAAGATAATATATATTGTATTTAATGAAACTACTTATTACGATGAGATCTAAAAATGCATATTAAAACTCATATAGGGAAAATAAGAAACTATTAAGTAAAACCAGACCCATAACACGTGGATATCAGGCCGACGGCCTCAACGCCGCGTACGACACCACCAGTGCTGGAAATGTGTGTGTGTGTGTTTTTTAGGTTGCATGTCCTTTTATGCATTAAAATTAGCTGTGTGTCACGTGGACAATCTAGCCAACTAAAGAGGAGCCTGTGAAGGGGACAAAAGATACGAATGTACATGGCTGTTAAGGGGAAGAGAGGGGGAAGTAATCGTGTAGGTAGACGTTAGTGAATGATAAAATATAGATAAATTTAGTCCTAATCGGTTTTACCATCACAACACTCCTTTCATCACGTTAATAATAGCCCTATTTTAAACTTGAAAACAAATTACACTTTTGTTAAGTTACATAGATGTGTTTCTTTCAGTAATTTGTATCAGACATCTAAAACTACCTAAATCAATAGTTTTTAAGCTTTTTGGATGTACCGAACACCACCAGTTGCATTCGCGCGTTTACTGGTCCTTTTTAATTGTTACTAGACTACCTTGTTGTTCTTAAATAACCGTGTGTTAAAAGGGTCATTCTTAAATGACGTTATGCTTATTTGATGATTTTTATCTTTTCCCTAACCTCCCTACTGACACTTATTATCACAAAATAAACAGACTGCACATTAAACAGACGTCACACCCCAGACATGTATTTGTCTTTTAAAATACCGATTTCGGCAGTGCATGGGTCTGACCACATTATGCTGATAACGCTGATACCAGTGAATCTGTGCCGTCTCCCGCCAAGTCCCGAAAGGCAACTTTATCATTCACAACTAAAACAAAAAAAATTGAAAAAAAGGAACATAGACATTATGTGTCTCGATCACGTAACGCATAGTAACTATTACACTATCAACTCAGTTGTCTGGCTATTTCAGATTATAAGCAAAAGAAACTTTTGTTACGCGAATAGGCCCTAGTATTATTTCAAATTAAGCTTTATCCCAATTAGCCAATTTCATAGCTAACCAAACAAAGATTTATATAAAATAGTAAGTTTAAAAATAGTTTAGTATAGAATCGCATTATTGGCATATATTCTAGATCTAGATAGATCTATAGATCTTCTAGATTTTAATCTACGGCTGGCGTAAAAGATACGTCTAGCTTTTCCGTAGCTTTAGTTCAATAATTTAGGTCTAGATAGAAAAATCTATTGTATTCTCGAATTAGATGATCATTAGATGAAGCTAAAAAGCAAAGATTTGTATCAAATATATAAGAACTAAAATAGTTTAATAAAGAAACTCAATAAATTTTCGTTGTTTTGTAATTGATTTTATTTTTAACTAATTAATTTTTTTTTACCAAGATTTTAGATTTAGTTAGGTTCTACTTTCATTTCTTCAACAGCTGATTTGTAGATCAAGAGAAATTTATTGTATACTCGAATTAGAAGAACTGCTCAAAATTGGATAATTGTGTTGAAACCTAATAAAAATAGAAAACCGACGTATCGTTAAAGTTGTAGTCGACATAAAATTTAGATTAATAATGAATTAAATTTTTGAATGGGCAACATGATTTTCTATGGAAGCCGCCATACTTGTATTAAAAAAAATCATATGACGTCACTATAACTAAAGTCATTGTTCTAAACTTTTATAATTAAAGTGGTGTTTATACCAATGCATATATCGATAAATTAATTAACGATTCAAAGAAATGTATGATTAATAGTTTGGTAAAAAAGAACATTATTCTCTACTTAAATAAGTATTTTACAGCTCTACATATAGTGCAGATTCTCTCCTGTAGCCAAATAGACACAGAAAAATTATACATATACACAATTGTAAACACATTTTAGTAGTACATAAATTTTGTACTAATATTGAGTTTCTTTATTAAACTATTTTAGTCCTTCAATATTTGATATAAATCTTTGCTTTTTAGCTTCAATGATCATATATTATTGGTGTAACATATCCCACAACATGTAAAATTAATTTATTGTACTTTCAAGCAAATAATTGTAATCACTAAAATGTAAAATATATTATAACATATTTTGCTCATATCTTATGCAAAAATACTTTTGCCTTGCAGTCTGTTACAATGTTTTAAGCAGTAACACGCTCTCTGGTACAATTATTAGCCCCGACTACCCGCAGAATTACCCTAATGATTTAACATGCACTTGGAACTTACAAGCAAATCCACTCATGATTATCACCATCAGGTAATTTTTTTTTAGTTTTAATTAACATTGTAGGTTAAATAATGCATAATTTCAATAGACTGGTTTATGGCAGTAACTCGTTTTGTTAAAACATTTTCGTTATAAATTCACAGCTATAAACATGTTAGCCTATTACGTATTATATGACACGGATGTAATTACCGTTTTAAAATATCTGTATCGTTTTGTAAGAGTTTTAATACGCTTACTAAAACATAAAAAGCTATGTCAAAACTGCCGTATATGTAAGTTACAATAATGGGATGGTTTAACGATATGATCATTAGAAAATCACAAAATTCCTGCTTTTTCTTCATAGTGGGTTTCTGGCACTTTGTGATACTTTGACTATATTCGTATTAAGAAAGAAATAGCTAAAATGGGGGAAAAGTTGTATGTATTTTCAAAATATCATTTGTATGAACCTATTATTAAAAAAAAAATATTAATTATTTTTTCCCAATCTTACAAGCTCTCTAATAAACGTTTTATTGCTGTCATCATATTGTATTAGGCAGCATTGGAAAGCCGAGATGTTTTACATATTTCATAGCCGTATTTTCCATCATTTTGGAAACAACCAAGGCTTACAATCGGCTCTAAAAGTTACACAGATATGGTATTTTCGTGACATTCTTTTCATTACTTTTTTTGCTGTTTTTCTCAGTTCGCAGTTTATAACAATAAAACGCCTACTACTTTTTTATGCCCACCATATTTTCAGTAATTGTTTTTAATGCAAAAATAAAATTTCTATCACGAGCGAGTTGCGATGGCTTATATAGAAAACAAGTTAATAAAAAGTCTAGTGACAATTTAAGCGCAATTTCCTTATGTTATCCATAACAATTTTAAATCGAGATTAATCATATATTCAGCAACGGTGCCCAAATATTAAAACGTTTATATCAGTATTTGATTAAAACCCGCCCTCTTGTTTGTAAACATTAGCACGTGGAAAAAAACGAGCGACGCGTAGGTCGCCTCTCTCTCTCTCTCTCTCTTGCCGCGCGCAGTGACGCGAACGATCCCACGTCGCGACAGGCTAGCCTCCCGTATCAGTCGAAAAAACCTACACGATGCTCAGTTTAAATTAAAACTAGGCCTACAAGATGCTTAGTTTAAAATATATTAAAAAATTTGTTGTGACCAAACGAAAGGATATTTTTTTAAACTTTCTTCGGCAATATTAGTTTAAATAATGGCAGGAATCGATTGGTAAATGTTTCAAGTCGCTAAGTGGTCTGGTTGCCGAGATATAGAGCAAAAACTGCATTTGTTCGAGGTTTTTTGGCTTTTCCGGGAAATCCAGGAAGGAATTCCGGGAATTTTGTTGGCCCACAATCATCCTCGGAACTTGCTTAACATATTTGCTTTTGGAACTAGTCCTCGATATTGCTTCGTTGAGGAGGAGATACGACTTAAAGCTGCGGACACACATTCATACATTGATCCATCCATCCATCCATTCCCAGAAATGACGAGTTAATAATCGCAATTCTCCAGAATGGAAATTGCGCTAAAAAGTTTAGGGTAAATAGTATGCACATTTCGAAATGTTTGAATACTAAAAAGGGTACACATTTTCAGACCATGTAAAATTCTGACCAGTGGATTGCTCAAGAAAGTTGTTGTAACGAATCTTTTAATATATAATGAAATACAAGCCGTTTAAATTTGATTGCAACACGTGCATAAGTAAAAAGCCTTAGCGTTTTTAATTGTACCAAAAAATTTAAATGTCAGTTTTTTTCGAGTCCCCTTAACAACCAATATTGTTTTTTTTCGTTGTTTAGTACTTACTTTCATTACCCAAACAAGGGTAATTGTATTCGAATTGCTTTAGATCTTAAATTTTTTTAACATTGAAATAAACAGAGCACATCCCTTTAAGACGTTTTCAAGTTAGTTTAGTTAAGTTTCGGATGAAAATTTATAGCAAGAAGTAAAGCCTAAGTCCACGAGAGCTAAATTACGGAAGTTGAAAGACCATTACAATTAATTCTAAATTTAATGGTATTTCACGATTTAAAAAATGAAAATTGAAAACAAAATGTGTTATGTTTACGAATATTTTGCACGCTAAGAAGTTATTATTTATTTTAATTAACAGATAAGAAATTAAAAAGTGTTGGTTTATTTTAATTTTTTAATTTACATTTTAACCAGACCAATGTGATTAATTATTGAATTCTGTATTCGCCTATAATTGGAACTTTTATTTTTCAGTTGATCACAATATTTTTTTTAATAATGTAATTGTTTAAGTGGTGTAATTATTTCTTAACTTGTACATCCAGATTCTTAGATTTTGATTTAGAAACCTCAGACGACTGCAGGTTTGATAGTTTGAAAGTCTATAATGGGACGTCAGAAACGGATCCACTGCTTGCAGTTTACTGCGGTGAAAATATCCCTGATCCAGTCAGTTCTACTAACGGTCTTTATTTGGTATTTAAAACAGATTTTTCCGTAACTGGACGCGGATTTGAAATAGCTTACGCTTACGGTTAGTTTAATTAATTTTTTTTTAAATTAAAAATAATTAATAATATATTTATGCAGATTTAACTTACAGAATGATAATATATTAGCTATACCAACAAGCACTTTTTGGGCTACTTTGTTGTAAGAAAATTACTTTCTTATGATAATACATAGGTATTATGACGGGGCTTCTACTGCAATTGTTAATAGAATATAACGCTAAAAGTATTATTATTCACATCTTGATCCATTTTTTCACTTGACTTTCACCTCCTCAGAATCTATTCTTGCATCGAATTAGTTACTATGGGACACTCTGCTGAGCTCATTAACTCACAAATTGTACATGTCTTGGTCTAGTATCATCGGGACTTTCATACTTGCTTTCTATGGTTTTTATTTAATGATGTGGGATGATCAAGGGTTATTTTATTGTTTAAGATGGAAATGTATTTTTTGTGAAGAATATAACTATTTATTATTGTTTAAAATAGCAGGGTTTATAAGATTTCATAGTTTGAAAAAAGTAGGATTTTTAAGTTAGGAAAAATACCTAGTTGTTAGTATGTGTACGTTTTTATGAATTAAACCATGATGTATGTAAAATTAATATCTCTATGTCTTTTATATTTTGTCGCTTTTAAGCTATTACCTTTGGCATATATAAGCCATATGTGGTCTGGTTGTGTACTAAGACAACACTTCAGATATATATATATATATATATATATATATATATATATATATATATATATATATATATATATATATATATATATATATATATATCATATATCAGCTGCATTCCCGTGCTTTGCCACGATGAATCTTTTTTAAATGTACCAGCTTGGAAACAGAACAAACGCAATCACAAACACAAAAAAAAACGCAAACTGAAATTAAAACACAACGCAAACACAAACACAAAAGAAAACACAAACACAATGCAAATACAAACACAATGCAAACACAAATGCAAACTCAAACGAAAAAACACACATAAAAGCACAAACGCATAATGCAAACGTAAAAACAAAAAAAAGGATATAGCGTAAATTTTACTTCCGGTCAATGGATATTACTCAAAATTTGACAGAAGACAGAAAATTAGATCTTTTACTCATACGTAAAATGTCGTTTATTTTTCAGAAACAGCCCTTAAATTTATAGGCTTTTGAAAAGTAAAAGTAGAATAAGTCCCACTTCCGCTGATCGGAAATCGCAGAAAAATAGATACAGAACTACAAATTAGATACAACACTTAGATATGAAATTTCAATAACCTAGCGGTAACTGTACTCAAGTTATCGTGTTTTCAGACACACAAACACAAACACTCCCACCACGGACAGAACTGCAAAATCCATTTCTTCCTAATTGATTACGCGTTAAAGGCCAAAATTTTTAAAAATCTAGATTTATATTTTTTCCCACTTAGAATAAGTCCCCTTTACTTTGTATATGCTAAGGTACTTAGAAGTAAAACGGTGGAAGCTGAAAAAATTGCATGTTATTTGTATGCACGATTACAATATTTCCTCTATACTCACTATACGAAAAAAAACCGGGAGTCATCTCCCTTAAACTTTTTTGAATAGTTTTATATGATATTAAAGGGAATGGCAACTCGGGATATAGTCAACATTTTTAATACATTTTTAATTACTTAAACTTTTTAGAATAGAATAGAATCTTGTAGAACAAAAATGGGTACTAAGTGAACACCAAACTTCTCTGTGTATAAGAGTGTGGAATATTATTAGTACGTTACTAGACTACCCGTCATCCCTTGGATAACTGTGGGTTTCGCGGGTCATCCATAAAAAACATCACGTCTGTCACGTATCGTCACAAAAAAACAAACCCCACATTCAAAAAGACGTTTTTATCTTATGGAAATATGGATTTCGGCTGAGCATGGATCTGACCACACTATCTCTTCATATACTGACGTCAGAGGTGACGACTATCCTATCCCTTTATATGCTGAGGACAAAGAAACATGTGAACTGTACTTCACCTGCCCTGTATCCCGCCAAGTTCCGATAGGCAACTTTATACTTAAAAAACACAGATTTATATAAAATAATGAAGGTCTGAAAGAGTTAAGTATAGAAACTCATTATTATCTAGATCTAGAAAGAATTATCTAGATTCTACGACTGGTTTGCTTAAGTCTAGATTTTGCCGTAACTCTTGCTAGATCTAGAGATCTAGATTAGATCTAGATAGATAAATCACTTGTATTATTGAATTAGATTATCCGTGAAGCTAAAAAGCAAATTTATTTATCAAGTATTTAAGGACTAAAATTGTTTAATAAAGAAACTCAAAAATGTATTATGATTTTAAAATGAATTATATTTTAACTATTAATATTTGGTTTGACCTAGATTCTAGATCTAGTTCTATAAATAACTTTCTTCGACATCTGATATTTATATCTAGATTGTAGAGCTAGAGAAATTATTGAAAAACTAAATGAAAAAGACAGTTGAAAATTGATAAAAGTGTTGGAACGTAAACTTAATAAAAACAGCAAACTGACGTATTGTGAAAGTTATAGCCGACAGAAAATAAGCTTTATAACGCGTTAAAGATCTGAATGGGCAAAACAATCTTCGATGCAACCGCCTTTGTTGTTTTAAAAAGTAAATAAATCATGTGACGTCACTATTCACTCTAAGTAAAGCCATTATTTCTGAACTTTTATAATCAGTTTGGTTAATCTACCAATGAATAAATTAATAAATTAATTAACTTCTCTAAATACATTTGTGATTAACATTCTGTCTGAAAACGAAAATTGTTCTCTACCTACATACCATTTTACAGCTCTACACATAGTGCAGATTCTCTCCTGTAGCCAATCGGACAAACAAGTAAATACTCAAACATGTAAACAAACTTGAGTTTTAGTAGTATATAGATAAATTCTATATACTACTTTCGGATAACGGAAATTACTCAAAATTTTACAGAAGCTAGGTCATCATCATCATCATTCCTTTTGTTGCCCCTATGAAGCAAAGGGCTGCAACTTCACATTTCCAGCGGTCTCGGTTTGAGGCTGCTCCCTTTATCTGTGCCCATGTTAGCCCAGCTGTTTTCGCCTCTCCCTCAACCGTTCCTTTCCACGTTTCTTTGGCCGGCCCACTTTCCCTTTTCCCTGGGGATTCCAGTCCATAACAGGTAATCAGATTTCAAAATTAATTAATTATAAAAGTAATGAATTTCAAAAGCCTAGAACTGGAGCTCCGTTTCAGACCGATAAATTTAAATTTCACATAAAAGTAAAATATCTACAGAAGCTAGGTAATTAAATATTTTACTTTCATGTGAAATTTCATGTATCTGTCTGAAACGGTGCTCAAGTTCTAGGCTTTTAAAAAATAGAAAGTAGAAAAATTACAAATTTTTGTTATCGGAAATCGCTGAAAAGCTGATACAGATCTACTAATTTGATATAATACTTATATACGAAATGTCATCAACCTAGCTGTAAAGGTACTCAAGTTATCGTGTTTACACACGCACACGCACACGCACGCACGCATACATACACACACACACGCACAGAGAGAGAGAGAGAGAGACGGACAAGATTGCAAAACTATATTTTTTCTGAGATCATTTGTCCATTATATCATTTGTCCTGATATTTTTTGTCCTGGTATCTTTTGTTCATGAGATCATTTGTCCTGCGATCATTTGTCCGTGAGATATTTTGCCTGAGATCATTTGTCTGAGATCATTTGTCATGGAACCTGTTTTAAGTATGTACAGCTAGTTCTAAACACATAAACAACATTATATATGTGTAGGTACTAGGCCTAAATCTTTCAATCGTTATATTTACTTGTTTTCGTCTTTCACCAGGATGTTATAAGTTACCATCATTTGACACGAACAAAACATATCGCACGTATGTTGTTTACCTACAGATGACTGATAAGTCTTGAACAGTAAACACATAGTACTCAATACTAATGGTTATGGTTTAATTAACCTTAAAGCAGAGTAATAGAACTGGATAAAAAGATTACAAATAAGGGGTAGTATGCTACATTGTTAAGGTTGCTTAAATTTTAATTATTAGACACAAACGTGTGATGGAATAAATACGTAAAACAACATATATTACACAATTACGCAAAGTAATCTAGCCGTCACATTGACATTAGGCAAAACATATATAGTACATATGTGTTACGGTGGTGGTGAAGTTTGTGCGCTCCGATTAAATATTAAACACCACTACTCAAGTTAAACATTTGTAGACAATTTAGTATCTGATGCCTAGTCGTGCTGTTAATACCAGAAATGCAGTAATCTTTGTCTAGGTATTCTTCTTCTTCTCCTTCTGCATTCTTAATTGGGTTTATTATTGGATGATTTAATCAACAAGTCCTGTTTCGTTGATGAACTGGACTATCGTCTTCAGATATGCGGGTGCTCCATATAGTTTTTCCTTGAGTGGGATGTATAGAGGCCAGTGTTTGAGTCGCACCTAGGTGTACAAGGGAACGGTCCTGAAGCACATGCTCTCCATTCTCGGGGGGCCATGCCACAAAGGCAAGTTTCACTCGACCGCTTATCCACATTGTCAAAATGTTTAGCTACAATAACTTTTTGGAGTTAATTGAGAAAAAATATACGAATGTTTAAATATTTGAGATTACCTAAAAATAATATGTTTACAATTTGCGTCACCGAGATATTTAGTTTAATTAAGTCAAATACAAATGGCTTAATCTAAAAACAGTAGACATCTCTTTTTTGTATATGTTTGAACGAAAGAATACTAGAAATTCCACACATCATAAAACTAATTTTCCCTAAACCGTCATATATTACCTATTGCTATTATTCATTATTATATGTATATTTAATAAAATAAGCCATTAAATGCATTTTATTGATACATGCCTTGGAAAATTTCAACCTACCTTGTAAAGTAGGTTTCGTTAAACGAAAATGTATAAAAGGATTTTCTTGAGACAGGTTCGTATGGCAGAGTCACGAAGGCGTAATCACATGACACTGGTACAAGAAGCAACAAGAAACACATTGTATTTACACACATACTTGGCAAATTAGCTTTAACTTTTGTTTGTTGGTTACAGAAAGAAACACAGGCAGAGCCTAACCTCTTCCTGTGCACTTGTATAATTTAAACACGCGTTTACTAAAGTTATATCATGTATCTTTAAACTATTTTGTATTTATTTTAATAATTTTGTATGTATTACTAGTTTATCCACTGTATAACCTTCAAGGTTCCTATTCAAATTTTATTTTAAACTTCATCTGTATAAATAACATACACAATTATGAACAAATCTGTACAAATATCGATGTGAAAATCTTTATAAAATACACAGTTTAAAGCAACAAAGACTCTGAATAGCCATGCGACGCTCAGAAATAAGATTCACAAATACACAACAATATTTCATGTTTGATCTTTTATACTATTTTATTATTTTAACTTCCTGAAATATAAGTTAAACTTCCATTTAAATTGTAAAAATATGTATATTATAAACAATTGCTAACAGTACATTTATGTTTCCATACATATATGTGGCCTAGCAATA